GAATTGACATGGGAACAAATCCTGGGCACATTCCATTGTACACGTGGTCTGTAAAAGACTGTCGCCAGCAAACATTTATCAGTTCGATCCGGAACAGAAAGCACTCCCGAACTTTCAAGAACATCTTGTGAAGAGGACACAGAATATTACAGTCTAGAAAGAATCACACCGAAATTCCCTGAAAACCACGTAAAGTTCTGTTTTCCATTTTCCCCAAAAAAATTTGGTACTAACCCGTGTCTGGACACTGACATGGAGCCTCATAAACAAGAAATAAAGACCACGAATGTCCAGAGAATCTGAGATTTCCTGAATCAGAAACCACAGGGTTTCCCTTTTTTACCTAATGGTGACACGTGCATAGTCGGAATATATCCTGAAAAAGTATTGTTACAGAAACTATGCTATTCGAACATGTATTACGGTCGTCATTTGTCCTGTTACAATTTTAGGATTCATATCTGTGACACTAGTGGTGAAATAATGTGCGTGTAGCACGAAGGTCGGAGTCGGGAGCTATCAATAACTTCAAGTTCACCAATAAACGTAACCTTATCGTAGGGTATGATAACTGCCAGTTCGAGAATAAAATGATGATACTGTTCTCCACGTACCTCGCCGGTACTAAGTTCAACAGAATCGACCGTAAATTTCCCAGTATGAGTCACAGCTTGTTGCAACAGGAGATATTTAGCCTTAACTGAGAAGAGGTGCAAAGTTTGATGAGCCGCAGTGGTAAACGTTGCTAAAACAACATCACTGTTCGCTCCAGATATCTTCAATCTCCGAAGATGTTCTCTTAAAAATATCCTCTCAAAGACTAAGCTAAAAGAGAAGAGTTTTGGCACTTGGGTCTTTTAAGTTTTCAAGGCTTCATTCTTGGTCGTCTTAAAAAGGAATATTTTGATTCTTTTCGAACTCAACCTGAAAACCCAGCACCTCCCACCATTCCACTCTTCGTCACGTCCTGTCCATAAAGCGTCCATCAGTTTCCGTCACCACTACTACTACAACGCCACAAATTGTTTGTTTACACTTTTTTATCGCAGTTATTAAACTCCATTGACTCCATTAACCAAATTCGTCGAGGTTGTTGGCCTTTTCTCAAAAATACATCCTCAGGTACCAAATTCCTTCCCAACAAGGTAAAACAGCCGGCACAGATTTCCCGCCGTCTGCAAGCCCACAATTTGGACCCGCGGCCCACGAAATAAATTAATTCCGATTTTAATTGTTGTAAATAATTCAACGTCCACGCGATTGATTCATTGCCATTGCCACAAGAATCGTGAACTCCGCTAACCTCGCCTGATTTTAAACGACTGAGAGACCAGACGAACGTCGTCTTTTTTTAACGTAAACGCAAATAAAGTTCCATTTTCAATAAACGCGATTCATTCCACGTAACTTTGACCGTTAATCTTTGCAAAACACGTGACTTAACTCCTTATTAGGTGAAAGTAAACAAAAGTGGTAGCTGAATGTAGTCCAGCTAGTTTTTGCTCTTGGAAATGTTACGGTTATTAATCGAATATTAGATAATGGGCGGGATTTGCGAAAATTTCCTTGATTTATCGTAAAGTTTAAGGCTTAATTAATTGTCAGGTTTCGAAAGGTTGCTAATAAATAGCGTAAGAGGACTGTGGCCAAATCCGTTTATGTAACGAAGTCTAAAATTGGAAGAGTTTTTCCGTTGCGGATTTGGCAGTTCTTGCGGCGAAGGATAATAATTAAATTACAGTTTCACTTGCACTTTTTTTGGGTCGTAATGGTGAGGATGTTACGAAAATCCGGGCCGCTTTGACTAATTGGGAATTTTAATCGGTTTGCTTATTTTAATACAAAAGAATTGGAGAATGTTGTCTCATTTTCTTATAATGGGATGTTTGGCCTTGGTAGAGTTTTGACACCACATGATCGATCCGCAATACATATGCATAAGCGCAAGTGAAATTTCACGCCTTCCAAAATTGTGGATATTGAACAATTTAACGTTGTTTTCGATTCAGGACATCTAGGGTCTGTCGTTTCTTAAAGTATTACCTAAAAACCATCCTTAAAATCATAGCATATTTTCTAGATGTTTCTAAAGCGGAATTTTTGGCAATTTTAAGCTTTGGAAGTTCTTGTCACAGCCTTACAAATGTATCCAAATTCTGATTCTTGGCCTTCCTCTACTTTCTCAAATCCCCTTTCTCCAATTTTAGACGTCGTTTTCAAAGTCCCCTTTGATATCCCATCTTGTTTGTTTTGTTCTAACAATAAATCTGTTACGTTCTCAATGGGAGGTCTTTGGTTTGGAAACATTTGCTATCATCTCTTAACGTTTTACTTCTGAACTTGTCATCTCGTGTCGTGTTGTTGGACGAACAAATTAAAGATGAAAGTTCGTGAATCAGCTTTTAATCTGAATTCCACGTTATTTCCAGGTTTCTAGATTACGAGACGTAACAATTCAAACCATGATGCTTCATTGTCCCTTTGCATATAAATCCTCCTTATCCTCATCTCATATTCTCCTGTAATTTTAAATCTTTCATTCCTTATATATGGATTCTTCAATTTCTTTCTTTTTGTTCTAGTTTTTCCAGTTACCGTCGTTTCTCATTTCCGATTCAATTTGTTATTCCAGTGTTTCAAAAACTCTTCTCTCTCTCTCTAGTAAATGAATCATTTCTACATTGCCACTACAGTTTGCACTAAACTTACTGCTTATCTTGCTGTTCTCTTTCTTTTGCTATTCTTTCACGTCTTAACTGTCTTTTCCTCTTGTACTCTTTCGGTTTATCTTTAGTTTCGTTCTTTTACTTTCAGGCTGGTATTTCTTGCTTTATTTTTGTAAAACGAAGCAATTGGTGACTGTCCAGATCGCCCTCTATCTCTCCACATTTTTTGCATTTAACACTGCAAAAGGTACTTTGTAGTTTAATTTTTTTTATTTCCTGTTTTTGTAATACATAATTAGTAATTAGTCTAATATTCCGATTTTGGTTCCATAAAAATAACTAGATCTATTGTGGCTTCACATATCACATTCTATAGTCGTCCGGCTCTAACTTTATATGGCAGGATTCCAATGTTATTCAGCCAAACGCCGCCACAAAGAAAGTCATACTAAGGGTAATGTAAACCCGACCGTGGGAATACATCTTTAAGATGAACTATAAAGGCTAAATAAGGCTAAGTCCATAATATCCCTATTATGACCTTTGTTGAACTGTTAACTGCATAACAATGGAACCCTGTCATAGAGCCTGTGGATTACTACCCTTCAGTTAATGTCTCAGAAAAAGATCCTGAACTTTTAACATTCGAATCAAAGCATTTGTTCGTCATACTGTTAGTACTTTTCTGGCATTTTGGTATACAATGGTACTACGTCAAGCGACACAGAAACAAACGACATTTAATTGATCGTTATGGCTATTTTCCTGTCTATTATATCTTTCATACCGTAGAATACAAATGAAACATTCTCGTTTCCATAATTCATGTATCCATTGCGAACTTATTAACTTTTGGTTTGGAACTCCCTGTGTAAATCTGTGAAACTTTTGACAATTATGATACAATTTCTTCACCAGCTAGCCAACCAAAACACTTGTTCCATTCTGTTACTGGGAGAAAATATTTATTTTTGCAAAGAAAGCAATCAACGACAATTCAAAGCTCATCACATACATCCACTTTTCAAGCTCAAAAAATACTCTTTATATTAGAATGGTCATAAAAACAGATTAGTCAAAACTGGCATTTTAATACACATGATTACAACACAAGAAATAAGTTGCATATACGTAACTGATAACAACTCGAGGATTGGTAAAAATAAAAAGTCTGACACGCAATATTACAGTTCTTTACTGGTGTTTACATTTTTTTTGTCCTTGAACATACGTACATCCAGGATGTTTTATTATGTACTGGAAAAAAAAATTATGATGGGAATTTTGATTTGAATTCAATTGTCAGTTAAAGTTTTTGTATTATTTATTATGTCCACACATTTTATACACATTTTTGCGATTCACCACCTCTAACAATCTAATGACGTCATATCAAACCTTAATTAGAATTTGTTGCACTTTTAATGTTGTAAACAAACGATTTCTAAAAATTACATTATTCGATTTCATAAAATTTTATAGACACCTGGAACTGCTTGAAAAATTATACAGAATTAATTAAAAATTAATGACGTAATTTTATTCAGAAAGTACGAGCATAAAATTGTGTTTTCTACTTAGAATTTTCTATATCGAACTAGAGTAAGCCGAAAAAAGTAAAAACAAATTATTTGGACCGAATTTTCCTAGTTCGTGAAGCACAATCGATGTGAATTCGAATTAGTCGTGCTATTTTACCCTACTTAATGTGGCAACACAATGAAAACGAATCGATTTTAGTGTGTTTTCTCTTAAACGTTCAATTTCTTAATTGAATTTGTTAACGTGTGTGTTAACATAAATTAATTTAGCTGTGTAAGCAGACACAATATACACAAAGTTCCAACAAAAAGGCATAAAACACAGCTAACGAAAACTAGTTTTTGTGTAATAAAAGTTTCTTTTCCATAGAATCCGTTCTGACGAAATAATACCAACCCAACGTAAATTAATTTCATGGTTAGATAAATAAACAACTTTGATTTAAATTGTAAATACCACAACAAAATCCGAAATACCTCCAACGGAACGAAACGTTCCTCTTACCCAGTAAAATAATGAATCAAATTCGGCCGTAACATCCTTCCAAAATAAAATAATCAAGAAAAAAAAACACAAAGTCGTTCTATTTTCGTCCACGATGACTCTTAGAAACGTCGACTGCATTATTAACACCCAACCTGTCAAAATCGATGATGACACTCGAAAACGTCACGCGGCAGGTGCAGTAACCTAATTTAACTAACCCCCCCAGGCACCCCAAGAAACCTTATCTCCCGCAAAAACCCACCCCCGAGCCAACTCCGTCCCCTTTTTCCCCAAAATCCCACTCACCACGAATATAACAGCGATAATCCTCGAAGCAACAACAGTAGAAACATGATAAAAATGTTAACAATAAGCGATAAAAACACTAAATGTCACTAAACTCGCTTTTGCACATTAAGCAATGACAGCTGGCTCGCAATGCCACGCACAGCACTACACTGTAAATTTTAATTCCGGGGTGGAAAACGGGTGAATCACAAATTAGAGAGGTTAGGAACGAAAATCAATACTGGAACGAACACGTTATGCGTCCTGAGCGGCACGTGCACGTGCGTTTCGTCGGATCGAGTCGGCTTGTGTCATTTCGGCTCCATTTTGACGTTTCGGTTTTTCGGTTTCGGGGAAATGGGTCTTTGGTTTTTGACAGCGTGAGGTGACTCTCAGCGGCGGAACGAAGCACACTTGCCCACGATGCCGCAAGTACTGAGTTATGATTGCAACGTTGCCGGTGGCTGCATTCGACAACATAGCTCTACCGCTTTGATCAATACGCGCGAGGCGACGAGTTTATTGTTTGCTGAGGGGTTTAGGAGCCGAGGGGGTTGGAGGGAGGTGGAGCTGATGGAAATGCGGGGGCGTGGATTGGTGGAACGATTTTTTAGGTTTTTTTAGTGTGACAACGAGGTCGAATTTTTTGCGAGTGAGATATAATTGATATCAATTGATTAATCTCATTATGGAGATCACTGTGTTATTATCAAGGTAATTGGAGTACATCTGGTGTATTTAAATAGTCGACGAGTTTACAAAGCCTGTGGGGCAAAGTTATTCCAAATTAATAAACGACAAAACAGAAATCTTATGGGCTTCATAAAAAATTATATGAGTAAACTATAAATAACTTGGTATATAGATATAAACATAAATTCCTTGTTCTGTTATGGCAGTGACAAATTATAGTTTATCATGTTATCTTTGGTGCGCTTGCGTCAAATGACGATACACTCTCATTTAACAAAGGTGTAAAATGCTACTCCACTAATTGTGTGTAATAGTAATGCAATTAAACCCAATAAACGAAATGACTACCAGGTGGTTGTCACTACATATTTAAATAATAATATTGATAATACTAAATTTAAAACTCTATAAAATAAACTGGATAACTAAAATATAACTACGTAAACAAAAACTACATATTTCATTCGAAAAAAATGATTATCAAATAGTTAAATAACTGTGAAAATTTGAATACAACGGTTTGAGAGAGCACTATGATTTACCTGGTCTTTAAATATTGAAGAGATAGAAAAGGAGAATATCTATAGAGAACAAGAAGGTGCCGGAATTAAGTTCTGATTTAAACGACCAAAATAATGGCTTCCTAAATTTTATGAAATTAATAAATAACTCTTTTCATCAGCGCCTTAGACCATTCACACTACGTAATACACAATAATGGTGGAACAATATAACTCCGGGCCACAGTTCTATCGGGCCTCTAAGTGTATCTTAAAACAGTGAAAGTAAATATTTATAAATGTAATAAGTCTATTAAAATAAATCTGAAACATTGATTTATAAAACACGTTTTAACAAAAACAAACTACTTACAGTAAGTGCGTAAGTAAATAGATACAATATATTTAAAGTGCTAAAGTTATTAGCACCTTAAATACAATCGAGCAAATCTAGTTTTTACGAAAAATTATAAAATTTGGTTTTGTTAAATTTTACATATTTATTCTATGATAACCGCTTGTTGGTGGTGATGATTAGATAAATTTTAGTTAGCATTTCACCATCTAAACAAAATTTTTAAAGTACATATAGGTAAGATTTAACAACAATCCTTCCAGTAGTTTCTTCTGTCTAATAAAAATCGGGACAGACAGACGGCAGACGACAGGTAGATGGAAATCGAGACCTATTTTTTCGTATGCTAGGTGTCAAGAAGCATCGACAAGGAATGGAAGTAGCCAAAATTATTTCCTCTTGCTTTTAACTGTCCAATAGTTGGTACAGTATTTGAAATATCTTTGGTCCTCGCAATTTCATTTTTAATCAAATGACTGAAAATGAAGATAAGACTTAAGAGTTCGCCTATTGTATTCCTTGAAAAAAAATCTTTGTTATTTTAAAAAAATTTTTAATTATAATTTTGAAAAAGATCTTTTCGCGGAACCCACCAAACCAGATATTGTGAGAAAAATTGGTACAAAGGTATTTCGACAGAACTTTCTTCGCCCCTAAAAGACACAAGGACAAATACCTACAGAGTTTTCGAAAAATTATCAAATTTAAGTTTCTAATTTTATTTATTTTTTTATAATAACCCCTGCAAGTTAAAAGGAGATAAATGTGGACTGTTAATAAAGTGCAGGTAAAAAAGCATGCTATGCCTATATTTCAAGTGAGTTCTTCCATAACAAAATGTTGACGTCATCAAAATTTTAGTAAGGACACGTACATCACGATAACAGTACTGCATACACAAATTTTTAGAAAAATGGGATGAGTAGTTCTTGATTTGATCAAGAAATTGTCTCATTCATTAATTTTTTGAATCACACTGTATAAGTAAGTAATTCTAAAAAATATGAGTGTACTGATAAAACACAAATATAGCTGATCGCATTTTGTGTATTTTAGATAAGATTTATTTGGTAAAATTTTGGGATGAGGTCATCAATTTTTTTTGATAGTGGATAAACGGATACATTTTGATTAATGATTTACATTAGTTTCAGAGCATTTGGTTTTGCAATTTCAAAGTAAAATTGCAACTGTTAAACAATTTTAATCATTAAACGCCAAAAATCTGACCATCTAATGCAAAAACTTAACACGGATTCATAAACAACAAGTGCAGGAGTAAATGTATGTTATATTATGAAATTTAAATAACTTTTACCATCTTAAATTTTGATAAATCCGAAATCTCATTGGTGGTGGGGATGATTATATAAATGTTGGTCAGCGTTGTGTCATCTCCACGATATTCCTAGCATAGGTGTGTAATACTTGACAAAATCGGACCAGTAGTTTCAAAAATTATATCTGTAATAAAAATTGACACAGACGACAGACAGACAGACAGACAGACGGAAACGCCTACTTTTTCGTACTTTTGGGGTCATTAAACATCGAGAAAACATGAAAGAAACCATTCGTCGTGTGGATCCTGTTATAATATTTCCTTAGCTTATGCTTATAATTTTTTCATTAATATTATGCGTTTGTATAATCCCATTATGGGATTAACGTAATAATTAATTTTTAAAATATAATTTTTGGAACAGTAACGAAAAGTGAGTATACTTTAACCAGAACTCTTGTGCGGAGTCTGCCTCAGGCGTCTATTGACTTCCACTAATTTTTATGAGGGCTTAACCACCCACCGTTGTAAACTTGTCTACTTACCCCCCGTAATACAGATAGCAGTAAAATTTTCAAATCTTTACCCATTTAATATAATTCATTGTTAGAAGCATTATTTAAAACATTACACATTGGAACAAACTCTAAGAACAATTTTTTAACCACATATGTATATTTTTTAACTTGTTTTCAATACACTTGACCGTTACACGCAACACGCATAGTAGTACTTATTATTGTGAGACTGATTCCAATGTCTTATTAGAAAAAATGTATATTTTGTTGCCTAACTTCCAACTTAGTGGAATCAGTGGGTGTAAAACTCAAAAAGTCACGTCAGAGATAAACGATGACGTGTACGTTTCCTCTGAGTAATTGGAATACAATTGTTCAAATTTTAGAAGTATCGTGTAGATGATAAAACGCTAATCAAAATTTGTTTAATCCTCCCTACTAACAATTTGATGACGTCGCTTTATCATTTTAAGAAGTTGCTACAGCTAGTTGATGTTATGAAATAGCCATGTACTTGTGGTTTACGAATCAGCCTTGATATGTATCACAATTACTTTGCAAAAAAAATTTTTGTGCAATATGTTCCACGTGGTTTATCTCACTTCAAAATCTAGTGGGACTCATGGTTGATATGATATCATACTGGGAACTGTGAATACGTTTGGACTTGTGCTCTACCTCGTATAAGTTCGAATCCCAATATTAATAAAGCTAAGGAAGTATGTAAAGCAATCCATATCTATATTTTTTTACTTATAAGGGTTATCATAAAATAACCAGAAGTTTTCAAAATCAAATTTTATCATTTTTTGAAAAACTTGTTCTGTCTAAATGACCTTAGTCAGTGCTTTTATTTTTGAACACTCGGGACCAAATACGTAATCGATTTTTTTTCATTTTCCAGATTTTTAAATAACGGATTATATTTTGCAAATAACTTAGCGCTAAAAACATTCCAAAATTTGAGAAACTGGAACTTTCGTCGTGTTTTCTAAATGGCATGTTGCAGGCCGTCAATGTCAAAGGAACATTTTGTTCCAAAATTAGTCTCTATACAAATACTTCTTGGCGAATATGGGCCTCAAGTTTGTGATAATTTTTACATGTAATCTCCATCAATCAAGAATAGCACAGGACTGATTATGGCTAAGATTTGGCTCATGTATGTTTATGGTTTGATTTGAATATATCTAGTGTGTTTTTAACTCGAATAATACAAGGATGATATTCATTTAGAATTTGTGAATAGCATATTCATAAAAGTTGTGTTTTCACTCCCGAGTTACTAATTTTGTTATACAAAAAGACGAAGAGCTTCTATTTTTGTCGTCAGGAGGAAAAGATCCCATGTGTCGAGATAATTTATTTTCGACTAGAACCCGTTTTTAATCCAATGTTAATTCATCTGCATAGGATCCCTTATTATTTTTTAGAATATATCCAGTACCTCTTTCAGCGATAGTGGTGAGTGATTGTTTCAAAATTAAATCTATATATGGTATGTTGTCATTGACGTCAAAGTTGTCAGTGATCTGTGAACATGGTGCGAAGCTCCAGTTCAGTGGACGGATTTATTAGCTGACTATTTTTGTCCAAAAAAATATATAATAAGTTAATAACTTCGCTTTTATTTTATGTCCTTAAAAAATAACAGAACTGAGGCTATCGAAAACAAAATTTAACATTTCTGGATATTGGATTTTTTGTCCTGTGTCATAAACCCCACACGCTTTTGTCTGCTGAAGCATGCTAGTTTGCGAAGTTCAGTGCTAATTCGACACAACGGGACTGCGACAGGTTTATTAGAAAAAGCTTCACACTGTGTAAAAATTATCCAGTCGAATCGCTTCCATCTAATAAGCACTATCAGAGCGCAATATAATTTTCAAATTTTAATTGCTTGCTTGTTACAAATGAGTTAGGAAAACTGTGTGCCACATGCCTAGCTTTACTTACCTACCTCAAACCAGAAAATGCACTGCGCAAATCAAAATTATTGACAACATGCACCGCGACGAAAGTCTATATTGAATGCAACAAGAGCACTGACCTTCCATAATGTCGTTAGTAAG